CACAACCTTGCTTGCTGAAACTGAGGAGGACCTGAAGCACTTGCCACAGAAGGTAAGGATCGAAGCCTTGAATATGGATTGAAGCTCAACATCAAGATAGCAAAGATTCTCACCACTAAGCCGATTGGCAGCCTCATAAGAGATGGTGAAAAGATTGAGATTGTTAATAGCTTTAGTTTGCTTGGCCCCACAATCAACCGTCTTGATACCATCAGCCAGGAAATAAAAAGACAAATTGCATTGGGAAAGTCTGCTGTCAGGGACTGCTCCAGAATACTGAAGTGCTATGATGTCAGTCTGAAATCTAAGATGTGCCTGATCCAGGCCATAGTTTTCACAATTACTTGCTATGAGTCAGAAAGTTGGTGTTAATAGAGGACTAAGTTATGTCCTTTAAAAAATGTATTGACATCTTAAGCATTGTAACAGTAAAAAGTACCTTTAACCAATCTGAGTCTTTACATTTTAAATGAGTTCTTTAGGTTGTTGATAATCCATCAAGTGGATTACTATTCAACAAATGTTATATGTTTTTATACACCATCTAGTTGGAACCCTCTAGTGGGTTTTCAGGGGTAGTAAATTGCAGGGGAGGAGATTGTACATTTTTCTCCTGCAGAGAAGCTGGTGAATTCAAACTTCGTGCTTTTGGAATTGCAGCATAGCTTTTGACCACTGGGCCACCAGAGCTTTCCATTCAAGGCTAGAGGCCCTATAAACAGATCTGAATCTTAGCCTGTCCTGTACTTTGCTCAGATCTCTTATTTGAGGAAACAGAACAAGTACAGCACACCAACCAATGAAAGATTATTGCCAAAATAAAAACCTGCATCTGATCAAGTCTCTAAAATGAAGATGAAAAAGAAAAATCCCCAAAAAAGGTATTGTCATTAGAACTAACTTGTAGCTGTTTTGTTATTGGCCTTCTGAGGCTGTAAATCCTACGAGAGGAGATTGCCCATCTTTTTTCCTGAAGAGCTACTGGTAGATTCAAACCTTCAAACTGCCAGTGAGGCATGGCCTGTGGATTAGTAGTGAAGCATCCTATAGACAAGTCTACAAGAGCTCCCCTCCCTAAAACTAACTTGAATGGAACTCCCTAAATCAACTTAAATGGAATAGAGGAGGTGAAAGTCCACTTCTGTAATTAGAGCAAGGACAGCGGAGTCTGACCTCTGAAAACTCCACAAGAGGGAACTGCCCCCTTCAACACTAGCCATAACACAAAGATAATTTCCACGAGGTCAGACATGTCCTCCAAGCCTCTGCACCTACTCACTCGATGTGAAATCTGTTGCAGTGACCACCCACACAGGCTTAACTGAATCATACTTACAGTTGTGGGGCTTAGTAGAGAAGTTAGCAGGCTATATATTTCAGGTTAACAGGAGGATAGAATCTCTTAGTTCAGAAAGCTTCTCAATTAACAACAAATACTATTCTTGAGTCCAGAGATGCTTCTCCATTAACAGCAAATACAACTCCTCAGTTCAGAAAGCTTCTCAGTTATCAGAAAGACATAATTCCTCCCATAGGAATCTCTGGCCTTGAAGGATGCTTACTGCACTCTCTGCTTCCTCTTCTTTCCTAGTGGTGAAATCCCCACTTTCTGCCACTGAATCTGCTCAATTTAATGGGTAGACTATCCAAGTCTCCTGTGGATAGACTAACACTCCCCATTTGCTTGAGGAAGAAATGACTCATGTAGCTGTTGATGTAAGCAGCTGTTTGCAGGGCAGGCAGAGTTGAGGTAGCTGATCAGATGAAAGACAATGGTCTAGGCACCAGACCCATTACACCATGACTTCTAACAAAATAAAAACTGTAGGAAATTCTACAAGACTTAGGTTCTTTAACAAATAAATAACAATCGGGGGAAAGTGAGCAAAGGAGAGAGGAAAGTGGTAAAACTGATAAACTGAAAAATATATTTACTAAAATGCAGTATAAAAGAACCCTCCATGTCAACTTTAAAAAAGAGATTTATGATCTTTGTGATGAATCTTTGTGGTAAAAACACTTTGGAGGTATCTGTGACAGTTGAAGAGGCCAGTGAGTAACCTTAAAATGTTGTAGTTGTGTTTGTTAGGTGCCATCAAGTCAACTACTCATAACAACCCTATGAAAACAAGATGTAACCCTTGCCCTACCTGGTGCCATGGTCATGATCTCTGACACAATGGAGCTCGCTGTCACAGTCGTTTTATCAGTACATCTCACTGAAGATTTTTCTTTCATTTGCTGACCCTCTGCATTTCCAAGCATGATATCTTTTTCCAAGTTCAGGCCTTTCCTGAAAACATGTCCAAAGTATGTGAGACTAAGTTTTCAACATCCTAATCTTTAAGAACCCTAGTTGAACTTTCTTCAATGCCAATTTGTTTGCTCTCTTAGAGTCCATGGCTTATTAAATACTCTTCACCAACATCATAATTCAAATGCATAACCTATTCTCCAATCTCTCTTATTCATTGTCCAACGTTTAGATGCATGTACAGTAAAGGAAAATACCATAGTTTGGGTCAGGTATACCTTAGTCTTTAAAATGACATCCTTACTCTCCAGCACTCTAAAGAGGTTACATGATGGCAGATTTTTCCAATGTAATGCATTGTTTGATTTCTTGACTACTACTATGAATACTAACATTTAAGAAAGTTTAAGATTTATTTCCGTTTATGCTATGTAACATATAGAAAGTGATGCTACGAAGCTAAAGGTGGATGACTTCTAATCCGCGGCCCTAAGGCCTGCTTTTCATTGTTTTTGTTCAAACATTCTTCTAGGTCGTATAGCCCTGGTGTGTCCACTTGCCGTACAGGGGTAACTAGTGATTGCTGTGAAGCTGAACACTGTGACACTAATGTGTCAAATGTGATAACAGTTACCCATGGTGGACAGTGTGTGGTGGCACTTCCTGGTTAAAACAAGCTTGGAAGCAGGAGTGACATCCACTTCCGTAAATATCTTGCCTCTGGAAACCCTATGAACCTGGATAAAGGATGAAAGTCACACAAGTGTTGAGGACTTTCGTTCATAGGGTCCCTATGAGTCGCCTACGACTCAACAGCACTTAACAACAATATATAGTTAAAATAATACAGAAATTCTGCGCTGTTGAAAACCCCCAAGCAAAGACCCATTTTCATATTCCAAGAGAGTTCCTGTCTAAAGAGATAAGCAGCTTGCAGCTCTGCTCACTCCAAGGGGAGTGAGAAGATGCAGGCAAATAAGCAGATGCCGGCAAATGTGAATCCTCTAAAGACACTTCAAAACAAAAACAAAACAAAAAAACAAACCAAAACTGTTGCGAGTAAGTTGGGACCAGCCTGAATGCTGCCTCAGTAGTAGAAAAATAATTGTTTCAATGAAATTCAGTTTCTTCAATAACTAAAAACGTCCTGTAACCCTGGATATCAAATGATGTAATGAGAATGTTTAACACTCTGTAAATATCCCTTGAAGAGTTAAAAAAGCAAGACAGATCTTTGTGGAATGATCCCACTGCCTTCCAGATGCATTCTTAATAAGGTGTATACATGATTTCTTTTGCTTGTTTATTTGGCCTCCTGATGGCACAAAGGACTTTTTGTTCTATTACACTATCTTGGCGGTGTTTGTGAATCCAAGTATAATGAAATCCTTGACAATGTCAGTCATTGTTCATGACAATGACCTTTTGGGGTGTGTGTGTGTGTGTGTGTGTGTGTTGTCTTGATACTGAGATGTGATCCATTTTAAAGGCTGTAATCTTCTGTCTTCAATAGTAAAAGTTTCAAATACTCTTTACTTCCAGCAAACAATGTTGCTTTCTGAGATTCACAGGCTGTAAATTATCCTCCAATACTGATTTGTGTTCTTCTTCATATGGATCAGATTTTATATTTGCTCAGAAATGTGACTGAATATGGTGAAGGGATACAACTTTGACACACAACTTTGTGGATTTGAACATTATATCCTTTGGTTTTGTTCAAAAGTGTGCTTCTTGTTCTATATACAGCTTCCTAATAATAATAATAAGCACAACTAGGTATTCTAGAATTTTTAGTCTTCACAATGTTATTCATAATTTGTTATTAATTCAGAGATGAATGCCTTTGCCTAGTCAATAAGATATGGGAAAAATAATTTCCTGTTGTTCTCTGTTTTCAGCCAAGATCCATGTGCAATCAGGAAAAATATCCTTCCTTCAAGTCACGATGTGTTGGGAGTTAATTCACAGCCAAACAAAATCAAGTCTATGCAAATATCTTTGGTTTTTTCCAGTGTGTTAAGTATATAAAAACATTATCTAGTTCTTCAGTCTTTACACATACACTTCACTGGCATTAACTGCATTCAAATTCAATTATCACCCTTAATAGCAGCTCACTGAGCCCCAGGTGTGCGTCTCCCTTCCAGACCTACATCCCAACCTCCACCTCATAATCTGGAATCATCTTTTGTGTTCATAAATTTTCTTATTTAAGAGAGATCACACAATATCTGTCTTTCTGTGAGTAACTTATTTTATTCACCAAAATCTTTTTTAAGTTCATTTTTTTAATGCAGCAGTGACTACTGCTGAAGCACGAAGCGGAGACAAAAATGAACCTGTAGGAACCAGGGCTAACTATAGTCTACATTGACCTACTCAACAGTTCAAATGTAAGAGCAGTCACGTGGCCTGTCCGAATGATTCTTCGCTTCAAAGAGGACAAAGACACTCACTGAAACCCTAGGCCGTTTTTGCAAAGTCATGCAGGATTGTTGTCAAAAAGGACTCTGCCCGAAATGCTGAACTCTGAAGGGGGCTGGGAGGCCTCTCCTGCTCCGCCCCACCCGCGCGAGGGCCTGCGCACTCCGCCCAGCCAGTCCCTGGCGAGCATTCCGCCCATGCGCATTGAGCATCCTCCTGCAATTTCTGGGACACCGCGGGCAGTTGCAAGTGCATAGTTTGGTTTGCACAGGTGTCTTCACCTCCTCACCGGGTCTCTAGTTCCCACTGCAGCTTCCCTTCCCGGCCATGTCGTCCTCCACCCGCGTGGCCCTGGTGACTGGGGGCAACAAGGGCATCGGCTTCGCCATCGTGCGTGAGCTGTGCCGCCAGTTCTCGGGGGACGTGGTGCTCACGGCGCGGGATGTGACACGGGGCCAGACAGCGGTGCAGCAGCTGCAGGCGGAGGGCCTGAACCCGCGCTTCCACCAGCTGGATATCGACGACCTGCAGAGCATCCGCGCCCTGCGCGACTTCCTGCGCCGCGAGTATGGGGGCTTAGACGTGCTGGTCAACAACGCGGGCATCGCCTTCAAGAGTAAGTTGCTGGGACAAGTAACTGAGTAAGATATGTATAAATATTCAAATAGGAAAAAATCACTGAGAAAGCAGATTAGTAGGCAGAGGGGGGTGAAGTAATAGGAAAGCTTTGGGGAGGACTTGAAAAGGCAGGGATGATAAATAGGCATAATATATGATTGTATAAAGCACAAGAGTACATATACAAACAACATATACAAAACACAGTATATATGGATAATATGCAAACTGTAAAAAATGTTTTTAAAACTTAACTAAGTTGATGTTCATAGAACCTCTGGAGGATTGGGAAAGACCCCCTAGCAAAGAAAGTGAGGGGAGTTGGAAGACTTTTATCCAAAGGGACGTTAACTTGTTTAAAGGTATCTGAGAAAGTCACAGCCAGGGACCAGTCAAGGTATTGAACCTTAGGACAGTTGGATGAACGTCTTATTTTGAAATAATCAAGAAGTGGGAAGAAAAATACAAAGTACACAATGTCTTGGAAACCCTGTACCTACTCTCCCCGTTGACACCCTTCTGTGAATATCATCAAAACCAGAACATATTACATTGGCACAATACTAGTAGTAACCACTGCGAGGCATTATTTGGAATTCACTAGGCTTTAGTGAAGTCTTTTTTTGTGGTTAAAAGTGTATGGCTTTTTACCCAATTGCTACAGTTGATTAACCCTCTTTTTTTCCCCCCACAAGATGCTGATCCTACACCGTTTGATATTCAAGCAGAGGTGACTTTGAAAACAAACTTTTTTAGTACCCGAAATGCCTGCACAGAATTACTGCCTCTGATAAAACCCCAAGGTAAGTCTGTGATGAGCACCACCACTCTTTATGCCTTGCTTGCTGGCACAGGCCTCTTTGTACCTTTGACTCATTTAGCTGTCATTTATCTGTCAGCTGCTAACTCATAGAGCTTAGTTACCTGGTCTCCTCCCTATCTGCATGCTACCAAATGTGTGGTTGGGCTTCTTGTAATAATGGCTCTTGTGGATGTTCCTGCACATCTTTATACATCTGGTTCTTTGTTATTCTTCAAGTCTTAGATGACCTTGCATTTGGATTCCCTTAGGGAATCTGTTCTTCCTTCCTTCTCTGGTCCTGTAGTGATCTTACTATTCAGTGTAGGGAAGAAGGAATTTTAGTAGTTGCAGCATTATTCCAATTCATGAAATTTTTTTTTTCATGAAACTGTTTTGAGTGAACATTTCTAAATTTTATTGAGTTTTCATTCAATTGTAGGCATTTTGTTTTATAACATTAATTACTATTGATTAATTATTACACATATCTGGTGGCCTGGTGGTAAAGAGCTGCACTGCCAACCTAAAGGCATGCAGTTCAAATCTACCAGCTGCTCCTTGGAAAAAATGAACAGCCTGCTCCTGTGCGATTTACTGCCCCTGAACACCTGCTGGAGGACCAACTATGAATTGGTTCTGATTGACAGTACACGACAACAGCAACAACAGTTTATGACTGTATAATCAAAATCTCAAACACTCTTGGCACCAGCAGTCAGAAATCAAAAAGCGTATGGCGATGGGAAAGTCTGCTGTTAGGGACCTCTCCAAAGCACTCAAGAGCAACGGTGTTTCTCTGGAGACTAAGGTGTGCCTGATACAGGCCATGGTCTTTGCAATCACTTGTTATGCATCAGAGAGTTGGACAATGACTAGGGAGGGCAGAAGGAGAATTGATGCCTTTGAGCTGTGGTGCTGGAGAAGAGTATGGAATGTACCATGGACTGCCAAGAAAATAGATTCATCCTGGAGAGGGTTAAACCAAGCTACTCCTTGGAGGCAAGGATTCTGGGGCTTCGTCTGACATACTTTGGGCATGTTGTAAGGAGGGACGGCGCAAGAGGGGAGGACCCTCTATGAGATGGATTGATTCAGTGACTGGGGTAATCGGGATGGGTGTGTCAGATGCAGTGCGATTGGCACAGGAATAGAGCAGGGTTTAGGGCTGTTGTACATAGGGTCACTATGACTCGCAAACGACTCAACGGCACATAACAACAGCAACAACAACAATCAAAATCTTACTGTTATTTGCTTTCCCTTCATCTATTTACTCCCTTTTCTTCCCCTCTCCCTTACTTTTCATCTCTGTTAACCCTCAAAATTGATAGGTCTATGTGTGAACCTCCTCTTAGCTTTTAATATAACTGGTTTTATAATTATCCTTCTGTGACTGACGTATATTACTGTATAATTTGTTTTGCATTCATCCATGGGTAGTATTTCATCAATTCTTTATCCTTTTTTAGTGATGCATTATTCTCTGCTGTGTGATTATTCCATAGTTTCTTTAGCTATTCATCTATTCTTGAATACTTAGGTTGTTCCCAGCTCTTTGCCATTGTAAATAATGCTGCAATTAAAATGTTTGTAAGTCTGTTTGTGTCACAGCTCTCAATTCTGTGGGATTGCCAAATCAAATATTTCGATGCACAGCTTTCTAAGGAAGTGCCAAACTGCTTTCTAAAGGGGTTGTACTATTTTACTTACACAGCCATAGTATATAGGAGTTCTAATCTCGCCACACCCTCCCTAGCACTTGTTTGTTCTTATCTGAACTTTGCTATTGTTCCTGGGGTGAAAGGATACTTTGCTTTAATTTGCATCTCTTTAATAGCTAATCATCTTGAGCATTTCTTCATGTGTTTGTTGCCCCTCTGAAGGCTAAATTAATATTTTCTGCCCACTTTGTAATAGGTTTATTTGTATTTTTCTTGTTGAGTTATTGGAGGTTTCTTTAAATTTTAGAGATGAGTCGCTAGTCAGATGTGTCATTGCCAAATATTTTCCCTGAATCTGTAGGGGTTTTTTTGACTCTTTTGGAAAGTTACTTGATGCACATGAGGATTTCATCTGTAGGAGGTGCCAGCCATCTACTTTATCCTCTGCAAATTGTACACTTTCAGTTCTATTTCACAGTCTGTTTACTCCACTGATGAGGCCAGCTAAGTTTATCCCCGTTTTTACTTTGATTGTTCTGAGTTAGCTTTTGTACACTGGTGTATGGTACGGATCTTTTTTCCATTTTCTGCAAATAGATAATCCAGTTTTACCAGTGCCATTTGTTAAAGAGATTCTTTTTTTCTCTACTTACTGGAAAAATCACTTTGTCAGAGATTACTTTTCTATTAGTGGATGGATTATTTCTGGTTTCTCAGTTGTGTTGCATTGGTCCCTGTACCTGTTGCTGTGCCAGGACCCAGCTGTTTTGTTACTGTGTCTGTGCAGTGTGTTTTGATAGCAGGATGTGTGAGTCCTGCTATGTGGTTTTCCTTCTTCATTATCTCTTTACTTATATGAGCTCTTTTTCTTTTCCTTATAAAGTTGCATCACTTTGAAAAAATTGGGATCACCTTGTATCTGTAGATTGCTTTTGGCAGTTTGTCAATTTTTGCAATGCTAAATCCTTTTAGTGAGTATGGTATGTTACTCTATGCAGGTCTCTAATAGTGGTTTGTAGGTTTTTAAGTCTTCTAGAGCTGGTTAGATTTGTTCCTAAATAATTCATCTTTTGGGTAACTATTATAAATGTCATTATTTTCTTAATTTCTTTTTCAGTGTTTTCTTTGTTGATGTTGTGAGGTGCCATCTAGTCGAGTATGGCTCAAAAAAACCCTGTAGACCACAGATTTGAACTCTTTCCTATCCTCTACCATCCACATCCTCTCCAGCATACTCAAGCCCTTTCCTGCAGTCACTGAGTCAGTCCATCTTGTTGAGGTCTTTTTCTCTGTTGCTGACTTTCCACCTTTCCAAGCATGATGTAGAGGAATCTGACTAACTGTTGCAAGTTCATCCTATATCCTGCCACTTTGCTGTGTCAGTTAGATCCAGTAACTTACTAAGTTTTTAGGATTTTCTATATACAGGTCTGTATGATCTGAGGACAAAGAATTTTACTTCCTCTTTGCCAATTCGGAAATATTTTATTTCCTTTTCTTGGCCTTATTATTTTGTTGTAAGAATAGAAGAAATGATAAAAAGAAACCTTGTCTGGTTCCCATTCACAAGGAGAATGGCTTCAGTCTCTTCCACTGAGAGTAATGTTGGCCATTGGTTTTGTATGTTATGTGCTGTCGAGTCGCTTGCGACTCATAGCAACCCTATGTACAACAGCCCTAAACTCTGCTTTGTCCTGTGCCAATCGCACTGTCTCCGATATTCCCATCCCGATTACCCCACTGAATCAATCCACCTCATAGAGGGCCTTCCCTTCCTGCACTATCCTGCCACCCTCCCAAGCATGATGTCCCTCTCCAAGGACCAGTCTCTCCTTACATGTCCAAAGTAAGTTCGATGGAGCCTCAGAATCCTTGCCTCCAAGGAGCAGCCCAGTTTAACCCTTTCCAGGATGAATCTGTTTCTTTTCTCAGCAGTCCATGGTACCCTCAATACTCTTCTCCAGCACCACAGCTCAAAGGCATCAATTCTGCTTCTATCCTCCCTAATCATTGTCAAACTCTCTGATGCATAACAAGTGATAGCAAAGACCATGGCCTTTATCAGATGCACCTTAGTCTCCAGAGTGACACCATTGCTCTTCAGTAATTTGGAGAGGTCCCTAACAGCAGACTTTCCCATGGCAATAGGTCTTTCAATTTCCTGGCTACTGGTACCAAGAGTGTTGACTGTGGAGCCAAGCAAACTAAAGCAGTGAACAATGCTTTTAATTATGTTGAGCATTTCCCCCCTATTTCTATTTTATTGAATGCTTTTATTATGAGAGAGTGTTGAATTTGTCAAACACATGTTTTCTTGAATGCTTATTTTCTCATTTTCATAGTGTTTAGAAAATTTTCTACAAACAAATCTTATTTTCTTTTTCTTTTGATCTCTTCCTGTTCTACAATTTCAGTTACATGTTATTCCTCTTTATATTGTCCCACATAATTCCTGATTGTTTCATTTTTTTCCTGATTATTTCTGTAACAGTATTAAGAAATTTGTCCTCCACTAATTCTGTGTTCCATTTCTTTAATTCTGTTCTTTGCTGTCAGTATTTATTTCTGTAATTTTAGTCATAATATTTTTACTTTCATTGTCTGTTTTTGAATTGCTTCTAATTCCAAATTTACTTGATCTACTGAAGATTATCCAAAAACGATTAGAACAGCACATCAGCAGAGAATTGCCGGAAGTCCAGGCTGGGTTTAGAAGGGGTCGTGGTACTAGGGATATTGTTGCTGATGTTAGATGGATCTTGGCTGAAAGCAGAGAATACCAGAAGAATGTCTATCTGTGTTTCATTAATTATGCAAAGGCATTTGACTGTGTGGATCATAACAAACTGTGGCTGACTCTGAGAAGAATGGGAATCCCAGAACATTTAATTGTGCTAATGCGAAACCTGTACTTGGATCAAGAGGCAGTAGTCAGAACAGAGCAGGGTAACACTGCATGGTTCAAAATTGGGAAGGGTGTATGCCAGGGATGCATCCTGTCTCCATACCTTTTCAACATGTATGCAGAGCAGATTATCCGAGAGGCTGGGCTCTATGAGGAGAATTGTGGCATCAGGATTGGTGGAAGATCTATTAACAATCTGCGTTTATGCAGATGACACAACCCTGCTTGCTGAAACTGAGGAGGACCTCATGCACTTGCTGCGAAGGGTCAAGGACTGCAGCCTTCAGTATGGACTGAGGCTCAATGTCAAGAAGACAAAGATTCTCACCACTGGACCAATTGGCAGCGTCAGGATGGATGGCGAAGAGATTGAGAGTGTTCACAGCTTCAGTTTGCTCGGCTCCATGGTCAACACTCTTGGCACCAGCAGTCAGG